AGGAACTCCGTAGCACCGGTCTTTTCGATTTCCGACTGCCAAGGGATTTTTCTTTAACGTGCGCGACAATACACACGGGTGTCCGATCTTGCAACCCAAAGACCAGGGGAAATTACTATAAATCCACGTGAAAAAATAATAGTCTTTACCGGGGCCTGAGCCTGTGACCTCTAGCACTCGAGGTGGACGCCATGCCTCGAGACGTGACCACTCAGTTCCCGTTGTAGACGTGATGAGGTGCTTAGTTTTCTAAGACTCTTTTAAAGTGCACCAGTACGAGCTAATCTCAGAAAACAATAAATGTGCATGTGCGTGTGCATGTGTGTGCATATATATGTATGTGTGTGCATATATATATATATATATATATATATATATATATATATATATATATATATATATATATATATATATATATAAGTGTATCTGTTTTTGAACGTTATTCTCTTCGCTGCACGCATGAGAAGTTTCTCTTTCTCTAGCTAATTTCTCCTGTCCTGTGTGCTCTTATAGCCAAAACAGCTTCAATGTCCTGTATCTACGTTGGCGGAGGTCGGCCTCTGCCTGGTTTTCAGGAAACTGTACACTCCTTCACATTTCTCTCCAGACCATCATGGTGCTTGACATGTACAAAGTACCTAAGTTTTCTGGAGAGGATGCTGTTCATGAGCCCCTTCACCTTGATGTTAAGGCCATGAAGAATGTCTTCTTTTTCTTGGTCCACGGGATTCCAAGAATTTATCTGCAGCATTTCAGTTTAAAAACTCCGAGTTTCTTCTTCAAAGATTGAGTGACTTACATTTAGAAGTTGCAACGGAAAAGATGTCTGATCTAAAAATGTTTACTTTGACTTGTTCACTAGTGCTATGTCATAGGTTCTACATGCGGGAAGAGTTATGTGTAAAGTTGGTACCTTAACTAGGACCAACTTTCTTAGTAATTCCGAAAATGTCTTTCACTCTAATCTGTTTTACAGCCTTTGCTTCAATTAGACCTCACTTTTCATATTGAATTTTGTGTCTAAGCATAGCATCCTCTTGTGTCTATATCGATTCTATTTCAGTGCGATAATGACACAAGAGCTCACTTTCTCAGAAAATTAAAGAGGAAAGATTCTAATAACCTCTGTTTGACTGTGGGCAAATATCTGCCTGGGTTGTCTACCCCTAATGTCGTTAAGAACCAGTTTCATAATTAGGTACCGTCTCTAACAGTTGCGTTAGATATAATTGAATAGGAGATGTTGCACAGCGCACCAAGCTATCATTTATTGCCTGTAGTATACTTTTCGCCTACCAACATGAAGATGGGCACAGGATATAAGTGACTCATTGAGTATGAAAGTACATGAGGAGGAAGAACTGGCGAAAGACCGAGTTTTTTCAGGCAGACCGTGATGATAGCAACGTTCTGCAAAGGACCTGCTACATGATGATGATGATGATGATGATGATGATTAGTAAACCTTTCTGTCTAAAATAGATGTCACAAGTTAAAAGTCACGTGAAAAACATTCATTCTATCGTGGGCAAAATCGTTAACTACCAGTAACATAGATCTAAGCGCAATTACGCAAATGTGAAGTCGTCTCCACAAAAGACAGTCCCTTCTACCCCAGCACCCATTGTAAGGGCTCCCACAGATCTGAGGTGACCACATGTGACATTCACTCCTACCACACCATCAATTGTAAACATTCCTAAACATGAGATGACATCAAACAAAACGAAAAGTAGAAAAAGTCAGCTTCACAATATCACAAACACAAACAAGAAGTGAATGTTATGGTCAGATAGCACTCATCAGCACATTGCGTAAACCCACAAGGTTGCAAGTACGAATAATAATACACAAAAATCACTTGACTGACGTATTAGTAACAGCAATCACATTTCGGTCTGGCTCGTAGAATATCTGACATGTGTTTAAGATCTTAGGTCACCATAAGCGCCATTCACTACTACTACATCATCCATTATGATGTTCCCACAGATAGGTCTTCACAGGCCAAATTCATTCCTACCAAACCATCCATTGTAAAGTCTCAACAGATCTGAGGTTTCCACCAGTGACATGGAACAACCAACTGCACACAAATAAGCCAGTAAAATTGATGTGCACGCAAAAACGTTGGCCCCGGCACAAAAAGCTAAAGTCCACATGGATGAACAGCCAGCACCTTCCACCGGAGCTCACTGTGATAGGCTGGAGAACGCCAAAGACTGCTGTTGAGCAGCTTGACGATTTTGGTTTGTTCGGCGGTTGATACCTTGATTTAGTCTAGTTTTAAAATGCGGAAAAGTCTGGCCACTGTGTATAAGAGGGCCAGCTCAGTCACTGTTTGGCCTTTTCTTTTTTTTTACTTCCGGAGACCTACCCAGCTGTTGTGGCTCTGAACATTGGGCTAGCCAGGGCGGGTACGGGCGACTGCAGGGAAAGGCCAGTTGTCAGGCTGATTTTGCGGCGGTGGTATGTTTCCATAGTTAAATCTGAAATTTCTCTAGTGGTTAAACGTTGTAGAGATATGTCGGTGTGTATTCTCGCTAGGAGATCGTTTGATGGCAAGTCGCTGTAAGTGATTTGTTAGTATGGTAGCATATCGAAGCTTAACATACATGTTAAATATGTTTCGGTTTTTGCCATTGTTGAGGTAATCTCGCTGAGCGTATGGTGTCATCATATTTCCTTGTTAGCTGGAGATGATTAGCACCAAATTCTGCCTCTGGTCGAGCAAGTTGGTTGTTGTAAATTATTATTTGTGAAGTATACGTTAATTCTGCATTCAGTTGAGTACAATGAACAGCTGTTTAATGTGATGATTATAATTCATTTGCTTGATTTAACTTAGAAGCTGCAGTCTGTGTGCATGGTTCGTCTAGGTGTAGGTAACCATGTAGTTAGGTTGTCGTCATGTAACTCACTATAAAGATATTCTTTGTCTGGGTCTAAGTGAAATATTCTAGGGTTGCTGCGCAGAAGAACCCCTGTCTTTTATTTACTTTCCTGTTTTTGCTGTTTAGCGGGAACTATTACATTTTGTCCTAATCACAATTTTCCTTTATCTCCCCTGCTTCTGTGTTTTTCCCTTCTTTTTCTTCCCGCTAGCAGATTACAACCGGCTAACAAACACACAAAAAAGAAGAAGAAGAAGAAGAAGAAGAAGAAGAAGAAGAAGAAGAAGAAGAAGAAGAAGAAGAAGAAGAAGAAGAAGAAGAAGAAGAAGAAGAAGAAGAAGAAGAAGAAGAAGAAGAAGAAGAAGAAGAAAAAGAAGAAGAAGAAGAAGAAGAAGAAGAAGACAAAGAAGAAGAAGAAGCAGAAGAAGCAGAAGAAGAAGAAGAAGAAGAAGCGTGTGTGCGGCGTTTCACAAGTGTGTGTGCGCGCGCGCACATGTGTGTAGTATATGTGTACTACATATGTAATATATGTGTATATGTCTCTCAGCGTATGTCTCTGTGGTCGCAGAGTCGAATCTCCATGGAAGCAAATTATTACAATCGACCAGAGCTTCGAGACCTTTTAGAATAAAGCATGGGTATCAGTAACTACCCGGGGACATCAAGGTGACGGGCTTGATACTGACTGCATTAGTCATCGAGTGATGATTGGTCAATAGAAGTAAAGAAGCCAACAATCATAACGATGCATGGAAACGGGACTTACATTTTTAATTCATCCACTCCCATTTTAGATATGCAGATAGAGCACTGCTCTTCTGATCCGACAGCTTCTGCAGCCTGCTTTGTTCGAAACATACTAGTGCTACCTTTCCTCTGGATTAAACAAGGCAGGCCGAGAGAAGGATCAAGATGCATGGGCAACTATGGTCTCTACAATACTGCCTAGGCTTTGTGCTATGGAGAGGGCAAACTCTAAACACAAATGTGGACAACAATGGTCCTGAAATCCCATGTTTTTATTGTTGAAGACTTTTATTAATACAGGCGGGTCTTGCTAGTCACATTCGCCATCGCCATGGACTGTGAGTTCCATGCCTCCTCATAGCACAATATAACATTTCGTCTGGAAATTGCCAGTCATTCATTTCATATTCAGTAGTAGTAGTACATTTGACCCTACTAGGATATCACACAAGCGATAAACACCCGATGACACAAAGTGCCACAATGTGGATGATGATCACCCGTGGAGAGGTCCCGGAAACCGCCTACAGCCATTAGGCCATATTTATGACCGGGCTATATTGCTGCCCACAGCAAGAGCCAGTGTGGGGCTTCAAATTAACGAAAAATTGCATCCCGCAAGTGAATGCGTATATATTTTCATATTCACCTTTTCAACGTCTTGTATGTTAGTGTATCTGTGTTTGTGTGTAATCAACACAAACGAAATTATATCTTGCTTTTTAATGTATAATTCACAATAAATAAAGACAGAAGTTCACAACATAATCGGAAATAGTACCAGAAATAGTACAGGTATATCACCAGGATAAATACCGCGTTGAGACCACTGTCTAATCCATTAAAGAGGATGTACATAAAGCCATGTTTGTGGGAAGAATTTCCATGTATGTGCTTTTTGACCTGGTCCTCCAGCTTCATTGTGCTTTTCTTTCAGGATGTGTTTCCTTGGCCAGTAACCATTCAAGGCCAGCCCACCAGGCAGTTATTGTTTCAGTTTCAGAGATCCTTGGCTTAGGTGGAGTGCTGTCCCCTAACTGTCGAGCCCCACCTATCCGGAGAAGAAGGTCAGCAAAGAATCCCTAATGAACGATTACATGAAACAAAATGTCAGTGATAATGTCAGAATTCAATATGGTTTGAAAGATGTACGTAAATTAATTAATATTCTTCAGAAAATAAATACATCGGTAGAATAACTGAAGAACAATACTTTTAAAAGATGTTTAGAGCTAAAACTGCTCTGTGTGTGTGTGTGTGTGTGTGTGTGTGTGTGTGTGTGTGTGTGTGTGTGTGTGCTTTATTTTTATCAGTAGATATATCAGTTCTAGCGGCATGGTGAGCATGAAGATCTTCATGCTAGGCTGTCTTCCCTTCCTTATGCCGACAGACCAGCACTGGACAGTTTGCATGATGGAGAATGTAATCAGACACTGAGCCAATCAGAGTCCTCCGCACGGTACCGAGACCACGTGATCCTGTCACTATGCAGCAGACCTTATGTACACTGGCCGCGTGGATGATGGCCGGACCTGGCTCTCCTGCCAGTCTGAGAAAATTTCCTCTAACCTGAAACAGTAAAAAAAAAAAAAAAATTCAGTATTGGTTTTATGGACTGGTGACACAAAGAAACCAGGCAGGGAAACTCCTCATCATCCCTGACATAAATGTTCTAAGAGGCAGCTTAGTTACGCCCAAGCCATATAACAACACACGCCCATCTTCAGGCTATTTATATCTCAAGATGGCCGTGTAACAACAACATGTCTGAAAGGCTAGAAAGTAATAATAATTGGAAAAAGTATGAAATTTATAAACACACACTTTATAACATTACTTCTACAGAGAGTTAGAGCGGGGGTAACGTAAACCCTTTACAGATTTTCCGGTAGAAGGAAGCTCAACCCGCCTCACCCAAAACATAATATTGTGTCACAAAAATTGTACCAGCAAGTACGTAATTTGACCCTTGTCAAATTTGCAGTTAATAAAAGTATCAGGCGCAATTGACGGAGACTCGCTGCAGCCCACGGCCGGTGTTCGAAACCGGGCTGTTCCTGGGGTTCACTAAGCCTCTAGGTAAAGGGTACCAGAGTTAACACTGTGATGTAAATGGAGGAACGTCGCTGTAGCTACGGAGTTGCGTGCAGACGGCGACACAGGCAGACAGTTTCGTATCAGCTGTCTGTACTGGTGGCAGAGCATTAATGGTTTATAACCGTGTGCAATGACGCTGGTTCACACAGCGTTTGTGCCTTAGGCACGGTTCGATCACATATGGTGATGATTTGGCAGCGAAACGTCTTGCGCTGGTTTTCGACAGTAGTACCGAGAGTTAACTGTTGTGAGGCAATGGCAAACTACTGAACGTTAAAATAAACACACAACAGTCGAAAAATGCTGGGGTTGGTTCTACAACGTCAGGTAAATGATATTTGTACAATTAAGTTTGTGAAAGTAAATACAGCAACGGAATGAAACGTACACAGATAATACTTTTGGTAATTCGAGTCAAGTATTACAAATTGTTGTGAGTCATCTTTTATATTTCGCGGTATAAAATTAAATTGCAGTTTAGCAGTGCAAAGAGAATTATTTAATCTTTCGTATTTAATAAACTAGAATTTGTTCAATCTTCTTTAGCCAGCTCCACTGATCATTGTTAACAACGGACTCTCCGCATTCGTATAATTACTTGTGGGTTTCGGGGCTCTGTTATAGGGAAAACAAGAATAGACCCACTGCCTACCCAAAAGCATGTTGTAAGAGTCGACTAATTGGGAGCTTCCTTCGAAGTCGGAGTGCATCTGCCTGGGGGGCAAAGAACCAGTAGTCCTCATACAAATAAGTCAGATCTGTAAAACGGATACACACGCAAAACTCCGATTCTGGAACAGGACTACAGTATAGAAGTGGATGAACAACCAGAACTTTCCGCCAGAGTTTACAGCTGGTGAACGCGAAGAAGAAGAAGATGATATACAGTTACAATGTTCCGCCCCATATCTCTTCTTTCTACCCGTGTTCCATTGATTCATATCAAGTGCCGAATGTTGTATTTCCATCCCTTACTAGTATAGTCTGCACATATTTTCCCTGCACCGGTGGATTAATAAAACTGCATTCACGCGCAGATCCTACTGTATCTCGTACAGTTCAGCGTAGCTGCCATAACTTACTGCAGCATTATGATATCTAAATAATAAACTAATATCCTTAAAATGGTAAACCTTATCATGTAGCAGGTCCTTTGCAGAACGTCGCCCTAATCACAGTCTGCCTGAAAGAAACTCGGTCTTTCGCCAGTTCTTCCGCCTCATGTACTTTCATACTGTTTGTTTGTTTTAGTATCCAGAAGCCATGAGTTGTTAACCCTTAGGCTCGGTATTATGGATATCGCAACCTTTCGGCCTTGATCCAATTGTAAATACCGTAAAATCTGGGGAAATGTGGCTTTCCTGCCTACCCCCGGGATTGAACCCGGACCACAAGGAGTTAGTCACCCGGTCTCTGCGCAATCCGGTTTAGCCAACTACGCTAGAGAGCCGGGTGTACTTTCATACTCAAGGAGTCACTTATATCCTGTGCCCATCTTCGTGTCGGTCGGCCCATTCCCCTCCTTCCTGGTACCATGCCTTCTGCTATAATTTTTTCCAATCTGTGCTTGATTTGACCAAAATATTTCAGCTTCCGAGACAGGATTCTGTTTATTAGCCAATCTTTCTTGATGTTCAGATCTTTTAAGATGTAAATATTTTTCCTCTTCTTTGTCCAAGATATTAAATACTGGTCCGAAATGCCTGACTAAATTCTGGATATTTTGCTGTAGTGACCATTAGTGGTTTAATTTCGTCATTATAGGTTGCTGTATTGTCTGCATGCTCCTCTGTCTGGAAGCGCTGGCAATTTCTTTGCAACTGAGATGGATCCTGCGGCATGTGTCTGTCATCCGCTCCTGCTGTCTTCTTCCCCCATTTCGTAGAGCGCGTGACGCTTGGCGACATTTTTTGAACAGGCCACCTTCCGCATTGACTGGTACTAAAGTCTTGTGGAACTAGCTTGAGCTAGCTCGCTCGCTGAAAGTATGAAAGTACGCTGAGCTGTGTCCCCATTTTTGAGTCACTTGAAATATCACAAGAGTCAAGAGTTGTGTGACTTACCCCAGCTTGTGTAAGCTTTCCTTTTATCTGAGCAACTATCTTGTTGATTTCATCTTCTTCGTGCACAATCCTTGACATGATGGAAGAATCAGTTGCCATCACAGCTGTGGAGAAACAATTACCAAAATAAGAAAGCTGTCTTTCTACAAGTGTATTCCATAACTACTGAGGGCAAGTGGTGACAGACTATTTCAATCTTTGTCGTGACAGTAATGTAATTACACTGAACAGAACAGCAGACTGATAGATATTACAAATAACAAGTTCCTCCGATCTTGGACACGTTATAAGGATAACCATATTTTTATTTGATGATTGAAATAATGTTTATTTGATACTAGAAACGTGTTTTGGTATTTTTAATTATTATAATTATATTAATTAAGTGAGAATTTATGTCCTCATGTGAAATCTCCGCCAGTTCCGATTTCCAGCATGGTGAGACAATTAATAAAGGAATGAAGTGTATATTCATTAAACCTAATCCTTACTAAGTTGATTTGACCTCATGGTGATATTAGCTTAATAAATCACTGTCTTGCTTTAATTTAGATTTAGTCCAGATATTTCTGAGACTGGTTTAAGAGCTTGAAAAAATGAATAACACAGGGTGGCTAAATTTGATATTAACACTGTCGGAGAAGAAGAAGAGAGATGTATGGCCATGCTTGTAATTATTATTGTTGTAGATATATTTCCCTATTACTAGGAATATATTTTCAGTACCACAGCAGGTGGCCTTGAAATTTTAATAATTATATTTCACCCTTTCCAACTTCTAAACTCTACCGAATAAGATTTAGCACACGTGTGGATTTAGATTTAAACTGGAGTGAGTGTTGTATATTTTATGTTAATACTGTGACAGATGGAAAGCCCATTGTCACCTATGATTGTATTTTGACATCTATCCCAGCACCCAGTTTATTAGTGGAGATATGTTAATCCCATTTATTTTCAAACTGTGCAAATCACCTGTTATGAGTTTCCGGCCCATGTAAACTCACTCCCTGATTCTCATTCTTTGTGATGTGAACCCATATTGTTTAAATGACAGCCTACTGTGAAATATGACTGTGTATGTAAGCATGTTAACCCCTCAAAGGAGTACTAGTGTACAGACATCAGAACAATTTACACTGATGAATGTTCTTTCTTATTGTGTGATGTAAACTCTTGTGCTGGAGAGCATTCATGAAACTGATGTTTCCTAAATATTTCCCCATTAGGATTATGGACCATGTTCTGTAAACATTCCCATTCTGTACCAGTAAAGAATGTGAACACTTGTGATTACCCTACTCCATATTTGTGTGTAGTGTAACATTATATGAGAAATGGAGGCACTGTTGTCTCCAGTGAGAACTTTCCAAACTGTTTGTAAAGGGACTGTTCTATTGTTCTAGTTCCTGGTGGTAGTCCAGATGGTAGATCCAAGGGGAGTTCCAGAAGTAAATTCCAGCGTAGCTGCAGATGCCCGATTGTCTGGACTGGACTGGAAGATTCGGCCTGCCTAATGTGTCTCCGAGGCTTAGCTAGAAGCTGACCAAAGGAACTTGAGCTACAGCTAAGTGGAGAGATTTGTCTAATAAGGACTAATTTTATCTCCACAATAAGTCCAATTATTAGTTTGACTTTTCCAAATAAATGTTATAGTTGTTAATGTTTCTTCCAGTGTTATGGAATTATTTTAACTTTAATCATTTGTGTCAGTGAACAATAGCCAGTATATTGTAATACACTTAAACTTAAACATACAATTTAATAACAGTAGGGAATAAGATGTGGGCAAACCCCGAATTCTCTCATTTAACCAGCAAGGCTGGGGGTAATATAAACCTTTATGATGTTTCACTGTTTGTAATCACCTCTGTAAATTGCACATAGTGCAGTCGCTAGTTTAAAGCGAATTTACCCGCCACAGTATGAACTTCACTGTCGGTTGTAATTCAGTTATCGACCTGTAAAGTTTATTTACATATTAGATAATAGTTTAGATAAAAATAAAAAAAATAAAAAAAAAAAAAACAGAACAGTAGCACAAGACACCCGTTTTTATCAAGCACAGGATACAAACGTGAACACAATGAACAAGAAGACATACATGGCATGAAGTTCTGTACGTGGGAGAACGGCTTGCCGTGCTGCGCCATGCTGTGTGCAACAATCACTTCTGTTCCTGGCGTATGCATATGACACATATACCCTGGAGAGGAAATTAAACGAACATTGATTACTTCAAACTGTCAGATGTAAGGACTAACATTCATTTACATATCGTGGCACTGTAAGGATGCTGTTTGATTTATAAAATAGAGCAATGGAATTACACATTTTGATTTATGGAAGTTACGTATTCTCACAGGACGTTGCAGAACCAACCCTATCATTTTTGGAGCCTGTTGTGGTTTTTCTAGACAAATTTTACGTACAGTAGTTTGCTACTGCTTTCTGAACAGACAGCTCTTGGTGCCACTGTCGAAACCAACGCAGGACAAAAAGTTGAGATCAAACAGTCCGCAGCTGGGATATATATATATATATATATATATATATATATATAAATATATATATATATATATATACTATATATATATATATATATATATTAGTTTCAAAAGGCTATATATAAATGTGTGATTGCAAATTTAAAAATTGGCTATATAAGTCCCACTCCCTCTCCACAAATAATTTTTTGAAAAAAAGTGAGCGAGCGGGGGGGGGGGGTGGGGGGGGGGGGGGGGGGGGGGGGGTGTGGTAGTAGTATCATGATTTGTGTCAAAACACGATTTTTTTTTCAAAGGGACACAACCAAGTATATATGATACTTACATGAAAAGTTACCCATCTTTTTACCAAACTGACTGACTGACTAACGTTCGACCCTACCAGGGCAATATGACGAGCGATAAACACACGGTGACACAAAGTGCTAACATTCGCATAAGACTCACCAGGACGCAGGTATAAGAAACGGCACGCCCTCACGCACGTATGAGTCTAATGGTACGGATTCAAGAACTGCCATCATAACGCACCGGACATGCACACATGGTGCTCCGTCTCTCTCAGCAAATGTCTCAAGATGTAAATACTAACGGTTCCCGTAGCACACTGATTATTTACACGTCGTTCTCTTCCTTGCATACCTCCCTCCGTGCCTGATACACACATAATTCCTCGTTCACACATTCTTACACATATTATTTCAAATAATCTAGCATTCAACATAAAAAGCCTCCATAACACCCCCCCCCCCCCCCCCCTTTTCCCGCCGGTCCAATACGAGTGTTCCTGTAGCTATCACTTTTGTAGCTAAAAAAAAAACAATGCGCTTTTTCATTTTCTCGCACTCCTGCACCTCCCAGACATTATATCCACGTCCGCCCTTAAAGAGGATAACTGTAAGTAGTCAATTTAATTAAATGAAATAATCTCAAATACGAAATGTAAATCAAATGTGAGAGTCGCAGTATAGCGGTGGCTAGATTCTTGCCTACTAGCCCGGCAATCTTGAACCCGAATTCGCATCAAGCCTTTAGAAGCCATTAGAAGACAACAGGTGAAATGGTTTGGCCATATAAGGCGGATGTCAGCAAACAGTATACCAAGCAAGCACAGGTCAGAAGAACCCAGCTAGAAAGACTAGACCGAGTACAGAATGAGGCCATGAGACTCATACTCGGCTGCACAAAAGACACCTCCTGCAACGCCATGCGTTATGTCCTGGGTCTGCCGACTATGACTAGCAGATACAAAGTGGCACAGGTCAAGGCTTACATGAGGGTATCGGCAGACGTTAACCACCCATTACACAAAGCTATACACGACACAAAAGGAAGCGTCTCAAAAGAGGCATCTCTAAGGTTGTCATCACACTCAGAAGGTACTGCAGGGATCAAATTCCTGCGGCCGTAGACACAGAAGTAAGGGAACTAATAGATCAGCATTTAGACCCAGAAGATATCATCATCTACACAGATGGATCGGTGAAGCGCGGATCAAGGTCAGCATGGGCAAACACAGTGCAAAGAAAGGGGAAAACAATACATGAGGACAGCGGGGCTTACCAGACAACCACGTCAAGCATGACAATGGAAATAGCCGCTGCTACTAGAGCTTTAGCATGGGTATCCGAGCAAACCGCAGGTAGTAATTGTCTCAGACTCAAGGAATATGCTTCAGAAGATAGCAACAGGCAGTATGCGCTCTGAATGGATAAAAAGCATTCAGAAATCGCACTTAACCTCCGTAACCTGGATCTACACACCGGGTCATGCGGGCGTGAAGGGAAATGAGCGAGCAGACCAACTGTCAAGCACTGCACGAATGATTGCGGGAAAGAGTATGGACAGAACAGATATAGTCAACGCTTTACGAACTGGGCTAGTGGAGAACGAGGAATCCCTGACACTAACAGAATTGCGTGACATGGGAGTTAAGCATGGTGATGCATGTCTTTGCCGTCTTCGAGGCCGAGAAAGGAGACAATATAACCAGCTTCTTATGGGGACAAGTAGTAGAAGTACTTTAGGGTGGCTGCTGCTTCAGAGAACTGAGCACGCATGGGTATGCCCAATGTTCAGTGACATCAGTTGTGATAACAAAACATAAAATAACATCTTAGTAGGGAGTCGGCAGTCCGAAACCCAAGTTCAAGGTGTCTCCTTCGTGCCAAAGAACTGCATGGCTGTTGGGTGAACAGTCGTTAACGATGGCAGGCAGGTCGTTGTAGGGGCGACGCCTGCTGGTGGATGTAATGTCCTGTCCCTTCCCCAGCTAATAATGAGGGTACTGCTGGGGTGACCGTTTATTAACCCTCATATAATGCTTCCGGTCAAAATGGACCTTAGGCACGGCCACCTTTTTTTTAAAGCCGTGGCGAATGTTTTTTTCTCTCTGTCAGACGGTGGCCGTTGCATTTTTGCTCCATTTGTAGACTGGAACAAGCACTATCCAGCAAAAAATAAGACAAACTAATTGCTGATCTAAGGACCAACATTGGCTTACTCTCCAAGGAAGCAGAACTGGTCTTGCAGTGGATACCAGCCCACTGTGGTATTCAAGGAAATGAGAGAGCAGATGAGTTGGCAAAAGCTGGGAGTAATCTTCCACAACCTCATCCACCACACAGCTACAAGGAAACCAAAACAGCGCTAAAGCAGTCTTTCAAGCGAGAGTGGAGAAGGCAGAATGGAGATTACAGACCAGAGAGTGACACCATAAACAAACTCAACAGGAAAGAACAAACATCAATTTTTAGACTTCTGACTGGACACTGTGGTCTTCGAGCACACTTGTACAGGATAGGCATAACAGAATCTGCTGCCTGTGATTGTGGAGCAGAAAGACAGACCCCTGAGCATATACTACAGTACTGACCTAACCTCTCCAAGCAAAGACTGTGGATCTGGCCCAAAGGAGCCACATTGCAAGAGAAGCTATGGGGGACCGGTGGCGACCTTAAACGCACAATCCTATTTGTGACCCAGACGGGACTCAATGTTTAGCATGACTGATATCGAACGCAGAAGAAGAAGAAGAAGTAGACTGGAAGGATGTAGTTTCGTCGCCCAGCTTCTGAGTTGAGTGCATGGCGTGACACTGTGAGCTGCGTTTGTTTTTCGTTGGCACAGGAGTGGAGCAACTGTGGGGTGACCCGTTTGCTAGGAAGCTGAAACTAGGATTACCAGATTACCAGCACTGGTGAACAGCGAAGAAGAGTCCGACCGTGGAGGTAATGAACAGTGGGAGTCCCCAGGAATTCCCATTTACGAAGCGCACAAACGGGCACACTCCCGTATATTATACTTCACAGTGACACCGCAACGTACCAGAGGATCGAGAGAAGGATATGAGATCATCCCTATAATAGAAATAAGGTCCCCAACCTAAACTTTATCCTAGGAGATATTCTCAGGAGTCTTCTTCTATTTTCGTTAGCCTGAAATAAGTTGTCTATATCAGCAATTTTGTCTCTTGTATAAATTTCACTGTCGTTGTTAGTTCATTCAGTGGCCCATAGAGCTTATGTTCCACTGTTGTTCTTTCTAGCCAAAAGGTTTGCCTTATCAAATTCGGTGCTATCCTCAGAAGCAAAGGAGACCGACATGACAATGACAACATCGCCTATCGAATGCCTACTGGTCAAAAGATTTGGATCCAACACCATTTATTAATTCTTTCATTTATTCATCATCATCATCATCATAAACCACTCCTGCCGTTAAGCGACGTGGGGAGGTATAATTTGCGATCCAGTGCACGTTGGCTGCCACTGGCTATTATCATGCCGTGAAGGCGTAAAGTGAATTTAATGTTTTCCGCGACCGTCCTCTTGCTCTTGTAGCTGATCTTCTGAGATGTAGTGTTGGTGATGGTATTTGATCTTGGGACATTCTAATAAGATTGCAAAACCACTTAATCTGCTGTTTCTCGATGAATCTAGTACAAGGTGTCGTTCCCACAATTTGCCTGATAGTTTCATTATTCACTCGATCTCGTATGGTTAGGTTGGCTGCTTTTCTCAGGCACCTCATCTTACAGGTGGTGATTTTGCGTATATGGGCTTTAGATAGTGTCCATGTTTGGCACTGGTAGCCTAATGTTGGAATTCTTTCATTAATTAATGTATTATCCTGTTGTGCCATTAAATGTAACATAGGGCTGGCAGTCTATTTCCTTATTCAGTTCCATACTATGCAATCAGTCCAGCAGCTTTGGCCTCTCTTATCAACGTTCGACTTAACACACATCGTTTAACACACACACATCGTGATTGTAACTGATTCAAAAAGCATGCTGAGGAAGAGCAGAACAGGTATACTTCGTAAAGAGTGGCATGCATCGCTGCGGAGGACACAAGTGAGGAGTATTGTCTGGATTTTTTCACCGGGCCACGCCGGTGTGTTGGGAAATGAACAGGCGGACAGAATGGCTGGCTCTGCACAACTTGGTGGAATAGTGCTACATGATAGGGCAGACGTGGTTAGTGCCTTGTGGAAGAGCGTGTACAATTCGGAGGAGCAGATGGATCAACACAGTCTGGTGAGATTGATGCAGCGGAGAGTGACGTGAGGTTCTGGCAGATGCTCGAGGCTCAGAGGAAAGGCAAGACGGACGTTTAATCAGAAAGCTACTGGCACTATTAGTATCGAAACTCTTCTCTGGCTGCTGAAGATGGAGACGGAGCGCTTATGTGAATGC